ATCCAGTAATATATTTTGGTTACTGGTGCTACATGCATGCCAGGGTTCGTTTTTATACTTATTGTAGTGACGGGGTTTACTAGAATTGTATGAAATAAGCATCTCTATGATGTAGAAATATTATATTTTTCTAATTTCTAGTACTTTCTAGTACTTTGAAGCATAATTACATCAAAGTCAATTAACCTCCTTTCCCATTTATACAATATTAACCTCCCAACTCATCATTTTTACACATAATTGCCATATAGTAAAAAAATGACCAAAATGACAATAAAAAGTCATCTTATATGAAAATACTGTATGAAAATATAACACTCCATATTTTTTCAGTCTAAGTGATAATTCAAATCCTGTCATTTACAGCCATGCATTGCCCTGAACTAAAGCCTTCGGCTCATGGCTCCATGAGCTGCTCTGGTCCTTCTGGAAACTCTGCCTGGAATTCAACCTGCAAGTTTGCATGTGAAGAAGGATTCAAACTGAATGGATCCAGTGAACTCCAATGTGATGATTCTGGACACTGGGATGCATCACAGCCAGAATGTGAAGGTACCTTCTTATCTTAGTTCTTAGTATTGTTTTCCTACGGGATATATTTTTTAATGTAGTGAATTGGCCCATTTATCATCAAAATAAATTGTTGTTGTGTGAGACTCCAAAACAAAATGGCTGCTGAAGAATAAGGGCCTTTCTTTCTCTTTATTTTATTTATTTATTTATTTTGTCAAGCAATTATAAGATAACAGGTATAAGTATAAACATAGCTATGAATACATGAAATGGATACATATCAGAAAAATAAAAAGAAACAATTTCTTACTCATGATCTGCTGTGTTTGCTGCCAGAGCTGGTTCTTCGGCAATCTTGCCCCCTGGATTTGAAAGGGAGCGTTTAGGAATGGCCCAAGATAGTTTTTGGATGGCTGTGGACCCACCCAGAAGGGGAAATCTTGAAGATTGTAGTTCCTCATGGGAGTAGCTGAAAAATAAATGGTCTTTTTTACATCTCTTCCTACCAGTAGAATTTTATCATAAGCATTCCTATAATTTTTAAGTTCACTTTTTGAACTTTTGTTTTTGTTATTATCTTTAAATTGTTATTATCTTCTGTTATTATCTTTAATTGGTTGGCTGAATGCTGATTTATATCAACCCCAGCTGGATTTTTTTTGGTTTTTTTCTTTGATTTATTGGACTGCTTTTTTCAATTTCGCTTTCATTGACTTTGGATTTGTGTTTAATTAACCTGCAAAAACTTTTTGGATCAAAATAGTCAGAAAATATCTTCTCTGTCTTTTTTCCTTCCTCCCTGCTTTGAGCAACAATATATTGGATTACAGAGAGGAGGAGGAGGCTGACACCCAAGGGGGAAAACAGAGTCTGTCTAGCAATATGCAGTTTTTTAGTTGATTTTATTCCTAAAAGGTTGGATGAATTTATAAAGTCTGGGCAAAACATTTTTTTAAAAACAGACATTAAATATTTTAAACCTACAAGAAGAACTTGTTTTCAAAGTAGCAGATTCATTGGGAAGAAATACAGACACAGAAATAACACAGATAGTGGAGAACATGGAGAAGAAATGTGATTTCCCAGCTGTATCCTGGCCAAGAAGAAATATAGACTCAGAATAGAGCCAACTCCATAAACCTTATGAAAGTGTAACACTGTGCTTTTATATAATAGCAGAAAACTTCTGGGTGGATAAGTGGCAAATGTTTTTTTAAGGGTTTTGAAAGAGAGTGGGAAATGGACTTAATACATCTGATTGAGGAACAATTGTATTTGATTTTTTGGGGCAAGATAGATTTAGTTTGGAGACTGGGTTTATTATATTCAATCAATCAGCAATTGATAAGAGATGGTATAAAGAAACGCATATGTATATTTGATTTGGGACCAATTAGGGTTTATATTTGGGATAATTTGGGATTGAAGCCATGATACATTTTTTACGATTTGATTACAATAATAGTTTGTTAACAGAGGGTTTTGGAATTTCAATCTTGTCTATCTCTTGTTATTGTTCTTAATTTATATTACATTTATTCTTCTATGTGTTTGTTATTATTGCTTTTTCTGTTAACTATTTTGTTATTTATAGATGACAGGCTAACAACTTGTTAGTAGATTTGGTAGTTTAATAGTTTAAAATTATTTTGGCCTGTTTCACAAGGGGTGGGAAACTAACATTACTGAATTATATTAATCAGCATTCATTTAGGGAGGATGTTATGTCTATATGTGTTAGTCTTCTTTTTTCTTTTCAATGTTTTTTGTTGGGATTTTTAATTCTCTTGTCCTTTTTTGAATATTTTGGTATTTTGTATTTTAATTTTCTTTGAATAATTTTTTTTTCACACAAAAAAGTAAATTGTTGTATATGCTATGTTTATTTCCAGCAATAAAATGTGTAGCAGTGCAGCCTCCTGAAATGGGAATTGCCAAACATTCTTCCAATGACACAAATCCAAGTTTCAAGTCAGTCTATGAATTTAGCTGTATGAAGGGTTACACGTTGAAAGGATCGTCCCACATTCATTGTTCATCAAATGGTGAATGGTCTGATCCAGTTCCTAAATGTGAAGGTAAACTTTAAAAGCAATGAGACATTGTGTTTGTCACCTCCATACATTTGCTGAAATTAGGAAATACCTTATCAAACTCTACATTATCAAGCAGCTTTCTATAATTTATTAGATTCAGGGTGAGTCTATAAACAATGCATGCATATGGAAAAGGTTTATAAAGAATCAGAACCTTTGAATTTTGTACCCATTTTTAAGAAAGAAAGTGCAAATTAATTATAGAAAATAGTACTTCAACAGTTATATTTTCAGCATGGAAATAGGCATCTTACACTTTAAACTAGGCTAGTCCCTTTGACTCCAATGATAGAACATCCCTTAGATTACTATGAATTTCAATGCACTGCCAAAAAAGGGGAGTGAAATTTAAGACATTTTTATTGGGAATTTATCCCAAAATCTAAAACAGCAATGGAAATCTTGTTGAAATATAATTTGTATGTGCTGTAGTAAACACAAATGCATTTTATGCCACCCTGAAGGGTCTCTAGCCCTTCAACTCATAATCTTTTTTTGAGGAAATAATAAAGTCTTATTTAGCAAATAATTTTCCTAGGGTATCCAGCAAAATTATGGAAATTGGTGCTAGATTTTGAAACAGAAAATAAATAATTGGGAGGAGAGATCGGGAGTTTAAAGGGAACCTCAGTACTATGATAAAAAATTCACAGCTTTCATTTGTGTTCAACCAATAAGGATTTGGTTGACCAAGGAAGTTGCCTAACCTAATGGAGTACAATTCTGTCTTTAGTTGTGGAATGTCATGCACTACAGAAGCCTGCACATGGTTTATTCAACTGCTCCAACCCTTCTGGAAATTATGCCTGGAATTCATCTTGCAATTTTTCTTGCAAAGAAGGTTTCGTTTTGAAAGGCCCCAGTATACTCCAGTGTGGTGCATCTGGGGAATGGGATGGACAGGAGCCTACATGCGAAGGTGAAGGTCTTACCTTATTGCCTTACTGTTGCTGTATTTCTATGTTCTGTTCTTTGACCATATATGAGATGACTTACGGAATGACCTGCCTCTATTTCAGTGGTGGAATGTCAAGCAGTACCTCAATCAGAAGGAAGCCTTATGAATTGTTCCCATAATGCTACAGAACTGAAGTATAAATCAACCTGTGATTTTGCTTGTGCAAAGGGTTACACTTTAAGAGGATCACCCCAGATTCAGTGCTTATCAGATGGACACTGGAGTCAGCCAATTCCTGTTTGTGAAGGTAAGGGACAGAGATTGGACGATCCAGTAATATATTTTGGTTACTGGTGCTACATGCATGCCAGGGTTCGTTTTTATACTTATTGTAGTGACGGGGTTTACTAGAATTGTATGAAATAAGCATCTCTATGATGTAGAAATATTATATTTTTCTAATTTCTAGTACTTTCTAGTACTTTGAAGCATAATTACATCAAAGTCAATTAACCTCCTTTCCCATTTATACAATATTAACCTCCCAACTCATCATTTTTACACATAATTGCCATATAGTAAAAAAATGACCAAAATGACAATAAAAAGTCATCTTATATGAAAATACTGTATGAAAATATAACACTCCATATTTTTTCAGTCTAAGTGATAATTCAAATCCTGTCATTTACAGCCATGCATTGCCCTGAACTAAAGCCTTCGGCTCATGGCTCCATGAGCTGCTCTGGTCCTTCTGGAAACTCTGCCTGGAATTCAACCTGCAAGTTTGCATGTGAAGAAGGATTCAAACTGAATGGATCCAGTGAACTCCAATGTGATGATTCTGGACACTGGGATGCATCACAGCCAGAATGTGAAGGTACCTTCTTATCTTAGTTCTTAGTATTGTTTTCCTACGGGATATATTTTTTAATGTAGTGAATTGGCCCATTTATCATCAAAATAAATTGTTGTTGTGTGAGACTCCAAAACAAAATGGCTGCTGAAGAATAAGGGCCTTTCTTTCTCTTTATTTTATTTATTTATTTATTTTGTCAAGCAATTATAAGATAACAGGTATAAGTATAAACATAGCTATGAATACATGAAATGGATACATATCAGAAAAATAAAAAGAAACAATTTCTTACTCATGATCTGCTGTGTTTGCTGCCAGAGCTGGTTCTTCGGCAATCTTGCCCCCTGGATTTGAAAGGGAGCGTTTAGGAATGGCCCAAGATAGTTTTTGGATGGCTGTGGACCCACCCAGAAGGGGAAATCTTGAAGATTGTAGTTCCTCATGGGAGTAGCTGAAAAATAAATGGTCTTTTTTACATCTCTTCCTACCAGTAGAATTTTATCATAAGCATTCCTATAATTTTTAAGTTCACTTTTTGAACTTTTGTTTTTGTTATTATCTTTAAATTGTTATTATCTTCTGTTATTATCTTTAATTGGTTGGCTGAATGCTGATTTATATCAACCCCAGCTGGATTTTTTTTGGTTTTTTTCTTTGATTTATTGGACTGCTTTTTTCAATTTCGCTTTCATTGACTTTGGATTTGTGTTTAATTAACCTGCAAAAACTTTTTGGATCAAAATAGTCAGAAAATATCTTCTCTGTCTTTTTTCCTTCCTCCCTGCTTTGAGCAACAATATATTGGATTACAGAGAGGAGGAGGAGGCTGACACCCAAGGGGGAAAACAGAGTCTGTCTAGCAATATGCAGTTTTTTAGTTGATTTTATTCCTAAAAGGTTGGATGAATTTATAAAGTCTGGGCAAAACATTTTTTTAAAAACAGACATTAAATATTTTAAACCTACAAGAAGAACTTGTTTTCAAAGTAGCAGATTCATTGGGAAGAAATACAGACACAGAAATAACACAGATAGTGGAGAACATGGAGAAGAAATGTGATTTCCCAGCTGTATCCTGGCCAAGAAGAAATATAGACTCAGAATAGAGCCAACTCCATAAACCTTATGAAAGTGTAACACTGTGCTTTTATATAATAGCAGAAAACTTCTGGGTGGATAAGTGGCAAATGTTTTTTTAAGGGTTTTGAAAGAGAGTGGGAAATGGACTTAATACATCTGATTGAGGAACAATTGTATTTGATTTTTTGGGGCAAGATAGATTTAGTTTGGAGACTGGGTTTATTATATTCAATCAATCAGCAATTGATAAGAGATGGTATAAAGAAACGCATATGTATATTTGATTTGGGACCAATTAGGGTTTATATTTGGGATAATTTGGGATTGAAGCCATGATACATTTTTTACGATTTGATTACAATAATAGTTTGTTAACAGAGGGTTTTGGAATTTCAATCTTGTCTATCTCTTGTTATTGTTCTTAATTTATATTACATTTATTCTTCTATGTGTTTGTTATTATTGCTTTTTCTGTTAACTATTTTGTTATTTATAGATGACAGGCTAACAACTTGTTAGTAGATTTGGTAGTTTAATAGTTTAAAATTATTTTGGCCTGTTTCACAAGGGGTGGGAAACTAACATTACTGAATTATATTAATCAGCATTCATTTAGGGAGGATGTTATGTCTATATGTGTTAGTCTTCTTTTTTCTTTTCAATGTTTTTTGTTGGGATTTTTAATTCTCTTGTCCTTTTTTGAATATTTTGGTATTTTGTATTTTAATTTTCTTTGAATAATTTTTTTT